AGTAGCTAGGTGTGGAAGTAAAATTAATCCTTGTTCATACATAGGCTTCTCGGGTCCGAAATGAGCTACTTCAAATAAATTCATTGCTCCGGCCCAAAAGACTATTAATCCAGCATGGGCTACATGGGCCCCCAGTAGTTTACCGGATAAATTTATAAGTCGGGCATTGCCCGCCCACCAAGCGAAACCTGTGGTTTCTTGATCCCGACCAGTAAAGTCTAAAGTTCGATTAAAGAGCGTTTCCACGTGGTAGAACCTCCTCAGGGAATATAAGGTTTTCATGAGGCTGATCTTGAGCGGCCATCCAAGCACGAATACCTTCATTTAATAGAATATTTTTTGTGTAGAAAGTTTCAAATTCGGGATCTTCTGCTGCCCTAATTTCTTGAGAAACGAAATCATAGGCACGTAGGTTCAAGGCTAGGCCAACTACTCCCAGAGAACTCATCCATAAACCGGTTACGGGTACAAATAACATAAAGAAATGTAACCAACGTTTATTTGAAAAAGCAACCCCGAATATTTGGGACCAAAATCTATTAGCAGTAACCATTGAATAAGTTTCTTCAGATTGAGTTGGGTTAAAAGCACGAAATGTATTTGCGCCATCGCCGTCTTCAAATAAAGTATTTTCTACGGTAGCACCATGAATAGCACATAGCAAGGCAGCGCCCAGTACACCGGCAACTCCCATCATATGAAAGGGGTTCAATGTCCAATTATGAAACCCTTGAAAAAATAGGATGAATCTGAATATAGCTGCTACACCAAAACTTGGTGCAAAGAACCAACCAGACTGACCTAGTGGATAAATCAAGAATACAGAAACAAAAACAGCAATTGGAGCAGAAAATGCGATGGCGTTATAAGGTCGCAATTGAACGGATCGGGCAAGCTCAAATTGGCGTAACATGAAACCTATTAGTCCGAAAGCTCCGTGGAGAGCAACAAAAGTCCACAAACCTCCTAATTGACACCAACGAGTAAAATCTCCTTGCGCTTCAGGACCCCATAGTAACAACAAAGAATGGGCTAAACTATTAGCAGGAGTAGAAACTGCGGCAGTTAAGAAATTACACCCTTCCAAATAGGAACTAGCCAATCCATGGGTATACCATGAAGTTACAAAAGTTGTACCTGTGAACCAACCGCCTATAGCGAAATAGGCACAAGGAAAGAGCAATAGACCGGACCAGCCGACAAAAATGAAACGATCCCTACGTAACCAGTCATCCATATTATCAAATAAATCCTTGTCGTCTTTGGTAAATTTACCAAGAGCTATAGTCATAGTTATCCTCCTATTCAACTACGTTGACCATTTCCGAGCACCGCATAGCATTTTTGGGACATCTGAAGATTTTTATCATTGCGATATGATTTATCTTGCACCGCCCCTTCCCATCGGTTTCGAAGATCCAATTATTTTTGAAATATTTTCAATATTCAATATTGGAATGATTGGTCCATAAATGGTATGGAGAAATCCATGAACTTACTTGGATTCTTCTTTTGAGAACCTCTCCTTGCATTCTGAATAGCTAATACCCATTTAATTGAATAGATCCATCCATCTTTTGAAAAAAAAATGTTCTCAGACTTATTTCCTCATTTTCATTCTTATTCCTACCACTAAGCATTATTCTAAATAAGTCTGAATTTTATTTTTTTTTTTCATTAATCTTATATAATAAGAATTAAAATTAAAATGAATTAGTGCACTTTTATCTCTATCTAATTTGAATATCATAATAGCGACTTTAGCCATTCTTACATGAGTCAGATCCACTATAGTTTACTTTATTTTTATAAAAGAAAATAGGAGTATTTTAGGATTTCAGAATTGATAGTTCTTTTTTTTTTGAGATTTTATAACTTTAGTATTTGAGTATAGAGTATAATTCAAATAATTGAATATAAAAAAAAGTTACACTTTTATTTTAAATCTAAAAAATAAAATAATATTCATGATCGGAATAAGATTTTATCCATTTAATTATTCTTATTACATAAAAAAAAACTTCAATTCTTTTACATAGCCCCTTAGCGGATTTGAACCGATGACTTACGCCTTACCATGGTGTTACTCTACCACTGAGTTAAAGGGGCGTATTCTATTGAATTCCTAATATATTGATAAAATCCAGAAAAGATACTCCAGTTCTCTTATATATCTCTGGATTTTAGCTAGTCTATTTATATGAAATTTCTTATTAGAAGAATATTAATTTCATTGTGGACGGAGCATATTTTAAAAATTTATCCAAAAATAGGAAAATACTAGATTTCAAATTCGGGTTTTAATCAAAGATTGCTGAATGGGAAATCAAAAAATTGAAAAACATAACTGATTAGAAAGGGAAAGATCTGTTAGAATATTTAAATCTTTTACATCTATTGACAATTTAAAAAAAAGGTTCCTACTATCACATCATAGTATGAGGTTGGTTGGACAAGCGGGCCCCCATCGTCTAGTGGTTTAGGACATCTCTCTTTCAAGGAGGCAGCGGGGATTCGAATTCCCCTGGGGGTAGGGTACTTTGAAAGGAAGCTTATAATGAATTAATAATGTTTTAATGGATTAATTACAAAATTGAGTAGTAATTTGGCTTTTCCTGGGTCGATGCCCGAGTGGTTAATGGGGACGGACTGTAAATTCGTTGACAATATGTCTACGCTGGTTCAAATCCAGCTCGGCCCAATCATTCGCAAATCCAAATAAGAAAAAAGAACCTGACCTTGAAAAATATCTCAGAAGTATATCTGATAGATAGAAAAAGAAAAATTTTGACTGGATTCCTTAGTTGATTGACGGGGATTGTAGTTCAATTGGTCAGAGCACCGCCCTGTCAAGGCGGAAGCTGCGGGTTCGAGCCCCGTCAGTCCCGATGGATCCAAAGAAGAAAGAAATAAGGTTACTGCTTCTCATTTTTATCTTGAAGTTTTATATGGGATTAAATCCCAAGTTATTGCGAAGTAAAAAAACAACGAGATTATGGAAGTCAATATTCTTGCATTTATTGCTACGGCCCTATTGATTTTAGTTCCTACCGCCCTTCTACTTATCATTTACGTAAAAACCGTCAGTAAAAATAATTAATTAGTATTTCATCTATTTTGAAATAAAATTATCTCCTGGGTTAGATCATTAGATTATCTTATCAAAACAAATTCTATTACAAATTTTTGAAGGTTTTAATTAAAAAAAAAAGAACTGGTTCAAATTAGCAATAAAGCACGAGACTCATAAAATACTCATAGAATAGACTAATAGTAATAGATAATATGTTAAGAAAGTACAAAATAAAGGAAGTATCCTAAATTAATCCATAGATGATTCCCTTTTTTTAACTCACACTATCTATTAACTATTAGCCTTCTTTTTGTTTGAAAAATATGTTTTATTTAAAGATTGAAAGAGCAGAGTGGGTTATTCACATGTTCTGAAACATTTTATAAAAAAATGAATAAATTTTTATTTACGCAAAACTCAATTTAGTAGAACCTCTATAGTCCACTCCTTCCCCATACTACTAGTGAAAGAGAAAAAGTAAAAACTACCATTAAAGCAGCCCAAGCAAGACTTATTATATCCATATTCATTATGCCTCCTATCATTATAACTAGTTATCATTATAACTAGTTTATTTTTACTAAGTTCCTCATCAATTATAAGAAATTAATAAGAATAATGGAATCCCCCGCGTAGAGTACACATAAAAAATGAAAAAAGGGATTATGGAAGATGACCTAAAAAGAAAATGCAAAATATGCGAAACCACAAAAGGATCTGGCGTTATTTTCCTAATTTCAGAAAAATAGCAATCAATATACAAAAATATAAAAATCGTTAATTCTCATTGCGATCTAATCTGGCATCCTCCATATGATTATATAGGAGCATAGGAGCTAGGAAAGAACGGGATAGAGGTTCTTCTGTTTACGAAAAAAAATACGAAAAAAAGGATTTAAATAGAATAAATTCAAATTAGTAGTATGCGGAATTTTTATTTTCCTTTATAGGAATCCTATGAACAATAAGATATTTGAAATTCTTTATAGATCCATAGATCAGGCGACACCCGGATTTGAACTGGGGAAAAAAGGATTTGCAGTCCCTTGCCTTACCACTCGGCCATGTCGCCAAAAGGATACAAAAAAATTGGGGAACGACTTTTTTGATTGTACTTGTTTCTTTCTTTTCTACTAAAAAAAGACTGAGTTTATTCCACTTTTTTTTTTATTTTATTTGAGCCATTAAAGATTATATTGAAAAGTCAGATGAAAGTGGGAACCTTTAAGCGTATCAATTTAACTACGAGTATACGAAAGCATCTTTTATTTGAATCAAAATCTTTATTTCTAAGATACTAAAAAAAATATTTTCAAATTATTTATTTAATGATCTATGAAATTCTTAAATCTGTTTTATAGTTCAGATATGGAGTTTGATACAATTTAATGTGATTCAGTAAAAACAATAGAAATTAACTCATTAATAAATCATCTATTTTCTTAGCTATTAGATGAAGGATTCGTAAAGTTTTATAAAATCAATAATAAAGAAAATAAAAAGGAATTACAAAAAAAAATGCTTGTAGATGGAAAAAAGGACGGAGTTACTACAATCCCTGGATTGAATCAGATACAATTTGAAGGATTTTGTAGGTTTATTGATCAAGGTTTAATCGAAGAACTTTCTAAGTTTCAAAAAATTGAAGATCTCGATCAAGAAATTCAGTTTCATTTATTTGTGGAAACATCTCAATTGGTAGAACCATTGATCAAGGAAAGAGATGCTGTGTATGACTCACTCACATATTCTTCTGAATTCTATGTATTGGCAGGATTAATTTGGAAAGCAAGTAAGGATCAATCTACACGTATGCAAGAACAAATCATTTTTCTTGGCAGCATTCCTCTAATGAATTCCCTGGGAAGTTTTATAGTAAATGGAATCTATAGAATTGTGATCAATCAAATACTACAAAGCCCTGGCATTTATTACCGGTCAGAATTGGACCATAACGGGATTTCGGTTTATACCGGCACAATAATATCAGATTGGGGAGGAAGATCAGAATTAGAAATTGATAGAAAAGCAAGAATATGGGCTCGTGTGAGTAGGAAAAAAAAAAATATCGATTTTAGTGCTATCATCAGCTATGGGATTAGATCTAAGAGAAATTATAGAAAATGCCTGTTATCCTGAAATTTTTTTATCTTTTCTTAGTGATAAGGATAAAAAAAAAATTGGTTCAAAAGAAAACGCGATTCTGGAGTTTTATAAAAAATTCGCTTGCGTAGGCGGTGATCTATTAGTGTATGAATACTTATGTAAGGAATTACAAAAAAAATTTTTTCACCAAAGATGTGAATTAGGACAGCTTGGTCGACGAAATATGAACCGAAGACTTAATCTTGATATACCCCAGAATAATACTTTTTTGGTACCACGAGATATATTAGCAGCCGCCGATCATTTGATTGCACTCAAATTTGGAATGGGTACACTTGATGATATGAATCATTTGCAAAATAAACGTATTAGGTCTGTAGCGGATCTTTTACAAGATCAATTTGGATTGGCTCTCGTTCGTTTCGAAAATGTCGTTAAAAGCACTATATGTGGAGCAATTCGTCATAAATTAATACCCACTCCTCAGAATTTGGTAACTTCAACTCCCTTAACAACTACGTATGAATCTTTTTTCGGGTTACACCCATTATCTCAAGTTTTAGATCAAACCAATCCATTGACACAAATAGTTCATGCAAGAAAATTTAGTTATTTAGGACCTGGGGGGGCTGACAGGACGCACTGCTAGTTTTCGGATCCGAGATATTCACCCTAGCCACTATGGGCGTATTTGCCCTATTGACACATCAGAAGGAATCAATGTTGGGCTTATTGGATCCTTAGCAATCCATGCGAGGATTGGACGTTGGGGATCTCTAGAAAGTCCACTTTTTGAAATTTCTGAGCGGTCAACAAGGGTACGGATGCTTTACTTATCACCGGGTAGAGATGAATACTATATGGTAGCGGCAGGAAATTCTTTGGCCTTGAATCAGAATATTCAAGAAGATCAGGTTGTTCCAGCTAGATACTGTCAAGAATTCCTTACTATTGCATGGGAGCAAGTTCATCTTCGAAGTATTTTTTCCTTCCAATATTTTTCTATTGGAGCTTCCCTCATTCCTTTTATCGAACATAATGATGCGAATCGAGCCTTAATGAGTTCTAATATGCAACGGCAAGCAGTTCCCCTTACTCGATCCGAGAAATGCATTGTTGGAACAGGGATAGAACACCACGCAGCTCTCGATTCAGGGTCTCTTGTTATAGCCGCCCACACGGGAAAGGTTGTTTATACGGATACTGAAAATATATTTGTATGGGTTTCTGGCCTTGGAAAGACTCTAAGCATTCCATTAGTTGTGCATCAACGTTCAAACAAAAATACTTGTATGCATCAAAAACCTCAGGTTCAACCGGGTCAATTTATTAAAAAAGGGACAAGTTTTAGCGGAAGGTGCCGCTACGGTTGAAGGCGAACTTGCTCTCGGGAAAACTTTATTGGTAGCTTATATGCCGTGGGAGGGTTATAATTTTGAGGATGCAGTGCTCATTAGCGAACGCTTGGTATATGAAGAGATTTATACTTCTTTACACATAAGGAAATTTGAAATTCAAACTCATGTGACAAGCCAAGGCCCTGAACAAGTCACTAAAGAGATACCTCATTTAGAAGCCCATTTAATTCGCAATTTAGATATAAATGGAATTATAATGCAGGGATCTTGGGTACAGCCGGGGGATGTTTTAGTAGGTAAATTAACACCTCACGTGGTGAAAGAATCGTCGTATGCACCGGAAGATAGATTATTACGAGCCATACTTGGTATTCAGGTATCTACGTCAAAAGAAACTTGTCTCAAAGTCCCTATAGGTGGGAGGGGTCGGGTTATTGATGTAAGGTGGATACAGAAGAAAGGGGTTTACAATTCTAATCCGGAAAAGATTCAGGTATATGTTTTACAGAAACGTGAAATAAAAGTGGGCGATAAAATAGCTGGAAGGCACGGAAATAAGGGTATCATTTCAAAAATTTTGTCTAGACAAGATATGCCCTATTTACAAGATGGAAGAGCAGTTGATCTGGTATTTAACCCATTAGGAGTACCTTCAAGAATGAATGTAGGACAGATTTTCGAATGTTCACTGGGGCTAGCAGGGAGTTTGCTAAATAGACATTATAGAATCGCACCTTTTGATGAGAGATACGAACAAGAAGCTTCGAGAAAAATCGTATTTTCTCAATTACATGAAGCCAGTAAAAAAACAGCGCATCCATGGGCATTTGAACCCGAGTACCCAGGAAAAAGTAGAATATTTGATGGAAGAACGGGTAATCCTTTTGAACAACCTATCCTAATAGGTAAGGCTTATATCTTGAAATTAATTCATCAAGTTGATGATAAACTGCATGGGCGTTCCAGTGGACATTATGCGCTTGTTACACAACAACCCCTTAGAGGAAGAGCCAAACAGGGGGGGCAACGGGTAGGGGAAATGGAGGTTTGGGCTCTCGAAGGATTTGGAGTTGCTCATATTTTACACGAGATGCTTACTTATAAATCGGATCATATTAGAGCTCGTCAGCAAGTACTTGGTACTACGATCCTTGGAGGTACAATACCTCATCCAAAAAATGCTCCAGAATCTTTTAGATTGCTTGTTCGAGAACTACGATCTTTAGCTCTGGAACTTAATTATATCCTGGTATCTGAAAAGAACTTCCAGATTCATAGGAAGGAAGCTTAATTTAATCCGAACAAATAAAAATTTTTCTTTTATGATTGATCGATATAAACATCAACAGCTACGAATTGGATTGGTTTCTCCTCAACAAATAAGTGCTTGGGCCAGTAAACTTTTGCCAAATGGTGAAATAGTTGGCGAGGTAACAAAACCTTATACTTTTCTTTATAAAACAAATAAACCAGAAAAAGATGGATTATTTTGTGAAAGAATATTTGGGCCTATCAAAAGTGGAATTTGCGCGTGTGGAAATTCTCAAGTAATCATAGATAAAAAAGATAAAACCCAAATTTTGTGAACAATGCGGAGTTGAATTTGTGGATTCGCGGATCCGAAGGTATCAAATGGGCTATATCAAACTAGCTTGCCCAGTAACTCATGTGTGGTATTTAAAACGTGTTCCTAGTTATATTGCGAATATTTTAGATAAACCTCTTCAAGAGTTAGAGGGCTTAGTATATGGCGATGTGTGATTTGATCGAAATTTTGATTTTACAGATTCAGAACAAGAAACTGTCATCCCAGTTAATCCAATTGGGATGCCCTAGACCTGACATGTTAATTGGAAAGCAAAAAGTAGCTAGTGAAGCTCAGAATTGGGATGTAGTAATTACACTCCCACAAAAGAAAAAGGGAGTTGATCTATGGTCCATTTCATTACAAATCAAATAAATAGGGTTTTTTCTTTGTACCTCGTAAAAAAAAAAGTTTTTGTTTTGTTGAATGAACCTTAAAATTTCCTATTTCCTCTCATTTAGAAATTCAAGTAAGCAAATAGGGCATGGTTATAGGAGTTTATTTATCGCATATAGGCTTTAGTAAAAAGGGCTTAGCTTAGCGTCCGCCTAACCATCGAGGTATATATAGTGGGGCCTAAAAGATCAAATGGAACAATCTAGAGACAAGTAAATCCCTTCTAAATTACAAGTTACTACTTTACTAATATGGCGGTTCCTTATTAAGACGTAGTGGATTCATTCTTTGAGGGGAAGGAGACTACTCAAAAATTTTGCATTTCATTTATATTTATGTTATAATTGAACTTAAATAATTCCCGAATTAGAATAAGACTCAATGAAATCTAAATCAGAAATGAAATAGTACGGGTTCTATATTGCTTTACCATCAATGGAAACTTGAGTAAGGAGTAGAACTTTTTATCTTTTTCATTTGGGGGTTGTCAATAATTTGAAACGAAGAGATACTTGTGTTTCTTTTCTTCTTTATTGTCTACTTCATGTACCTACTTGAGCCGGATGAAAGGAAACATTCACGTCCGATTTTGAAGGGGGGAACTCCTATTGAATCCTATCCCAATTTTTCTTTTGCTAGGCCCATAACTAAAAAACCCACTTTCTTACGATTACGGGGTTTATTCAAATATGAAATCCAATCGTGGAAATATAGCATTCCACTTTTCTTCACTACTAAAGGTTTCAATACATTTCGAAATCGAGAAATTTCTATGGGGGCCTGTGCTGTCCGAGAACAATTAGCCGATCTAGATTTACGAATGATTGCCGAAAATTCATTACTAGAATGGAAAGATTTGGGGGAAAAAAAGCGCACAGGGAATGAATGGGAAGATCAAAAAGCTACAAGACGAAAGGCTTTTTTGGTTAGACGGATGGACTTAGCTAAACATTTTATTCGAACAAATATAGAACCAGAATGGATGGTTTTATGTCTATTACCAGTAATTCCTCCTGAGTTGAGACCTATTATTCAGATAGATGGGGGAAAACTTATGAGTTCAGACATTAATGAACTCTATCGAAGAGTTATCTATAGGAATAATACGCTTACCAATCTATTAAAAACAAGTAAATCTACGCCAGGCGAATTAATAATATGCCAGGAGAATTTAGTACAAGAGGCTGTGGATACACTTCTTGATAATGGAATCCGCGGGCAACCAATGAGGGATGGGCAT